ATGCCCCTCTTGGGGATGCGTCGGGACAGAGTTGAGCCAGTTCCAAATGCGGCCGTCGTCGCCCATGGTCTGGCTGCCTGCATGCAAAAAGAAGCGTGGGGCGAGGTTGTACGAGAGGAAGCTACGAATGATTGCGCAAAACATGGGTTGATGGTGGTTGGGATTTGCGACCGTGGATGACAAGTCCCTGGTGGTGCGCTAGTAGTGGATGTGGGAAAGCTTCCTCAGTCAGTCCAGAAAATACCACCAAGGTCAGAAAATTGGCGAAGCAAGCTAAATACAACCATGGTTGGCAAATAATTGGCGACTAAAACAAGATTTGAGTGCACAATCGCGACTGGAAAGCCAAGGGAATATTGTGTTTGCTCCATCATTTTGCACTGCTCCGTAGGCCAACATTGAAGAGCATCGAAAAGCATCGCCAGTGTCGGAGTCTTGACACAAGCCTTCAATATAATCGTAGCACCATCAAATCATTACAACACGTTGATACACACAATTATTATTTCTATCCCCTCTTTGTTCTTCATCGAACAAATGCCGTCTCTTTTAATTCTGGACCGTGCGTTGAGTTAAATAAGTTCCGACAGTAGTAAGCATTGGCGTGCGTACGCGGTCTTTGTGGCTCATCCGCTGCATATTTACAGAGTGGGCCAAGAAGTTGCTCGGTCGCTTCCTCTTTGGACGGATTCCAAATCACCATTTCGCTTTCAGCTTTGGGTCCATTTCCATAGCCTCATTATGTCGGCCCTAGAGCTTAACAGCTGTGCTAAAGTCCGCCTTGGCATAAGTCGCTCGCTTTCTCTTTCCTCTTTAGGGAGCATTCCAAATCATCACTTCGCTGTTCGTCTTCGGTTTATTTCTTCAACCTCATTATGGCGGGCCAACAGCTCAATAAACCATTCATGACGTACCGTAGTTGTGCTAAAATCTGACTTGCGACTCATTCAACCCGACACAGCCTCTAAACATGGGCGCATCTCAATTTCATTGACGATTGTATGAGACAGTGATCGATGGTGCAGACGCGTCAGCACAAGTTTTCTCGCTTGAAGGCGTCCCTCGAAATATCGATATGGAAACAAATTTCACTCTGCGTGTATATAAACAGCTGGTCCTGCTCTCACTATTTGCTATTTCTAAACAGACAAACATTGTTCAAAACATTCCCCAATCAACATCAACAACATCTGTTCTTTCTCTGCAATGGCCTCCCTTCTCGTCGCAGCGCTCTTGCTGCTTAGTCGCGGCAGCAAGGCTGCAAGAACCGACCCCTTCAATCGAACTCATGGATTCTGTAAACAGCTGGATATCCCAGTGTTTGCCACCGCGGATAGCGCAATCTATGACATACCGAGGGTGGACAGCAACATCGAAGCGAGAGCCTGGGCAATATACTCCGATACCTGGAGCACTCCAAGATACGACCAGAGGGTCATCAAGAACACTACAACTTCTGGTACCTTCAACATCCATGGCCAGTTGTGTGTTCCCAAGTCTGTCAACAAGAAAAAGGACATTCTGCAGATTGCCACTCATGGAGTCCATTACGACTCCAGATATTGGGATCCTGAACTGGACCGAGAGAAACTGTCTTATGTCGAAGCAACACTCAAGGAAGGCTATTCCGTCTTCACATACGATCGCCTTGGAGTTGGTGAATCTGATAAACCAGACGCGTATGATGTGGTTCAAGCGCCTCTGGAAGTGGAAATACTTCGACAACTCACCTTGATGGCTCGCAATGGCACCCTGTATAGCTTCGCTAAACGCGCAAAACCTACCGTTGCAGCATTCAACAAGGTCGAAAAGCCAAGCAAGGTCGTACACGTTGGACACAGTTTTGGGTCCGTTCTCACTTCCGCATTCATCGCCAAGTACGGTGACCTCACTGACGGAGCAATCATCACCGGCTACGTTTATAACCAATTCCTCGGCAAAAGCGGGATGGCATCGTGGGGTGTTGACTACGCCGCCACGAGTCGTCCCCCCTTCAGCCGAACAAGTGGTTACGTTGTGTGCCAAAAGAGTGGCATCCAGAACCTTTTCTTCGCTGGCGATACTCACACTGCGTACACAAAGAAGATGTTCGAATATGGAGATGCCATTAAGCAGCCGGTCCCGGTCGGGGAACTCGCCTCTGCTTATCATGTCCTGCAGCTCCCGGGCCCTTCTCTCAAAGCCCCAGTACAATACATGCTGGCTGAGTTTGACTTTTACATCTGTGGCGGTGACTGCAAGGGAATATTCAACGCCACAGCTGCTAATATCACTTACCCCAATGCCGCTACTATCGAGTCCTACATCCAGCCGAACACTGGCCATGCTTTTACCCTCCACAACAACGCTTCTGCTGGCTACCAGGTCACCTTCGATTTCTTGACCAGAAATGGACTTTAATTTATTTGTCGGACTTGCTGTTGTGGTTGGATTAGTGTCTTCAACAGGCACCTCATGGCGGTGTTTCAGCGCAAATTCCGATACAGGAAAAGCTTTGTGTGGAATTCTGCTATGATGTGCTGGTTAAGAGAGCAAGAGACACAGTGTCATAGTATAGCACCAGACTAGGCGGTCAAACGTAGCTACCCCACGTACGTTTTAAATTAACATCACCTATTATGTCTGTTAAATGAGCTCTGTTTGAAAGGGGGTGACTGTTATACTGGGTTAAACTCTGTCTTCTTCAGAAAACCAACTTTCATTTTCTATCTGAAGTTTTATTCCCCCCTAATTCATTCTACGTAAGATATTATCCACCTGCATAAATTCAAACTTAATTCTATGGAATAATGCACTCTTCTATAGAGGTGAATTAAGAATTCTTATCTGTATTTTCCAAACTAAAATCTCCATTTAAACAGATTTGTTTTTCTAGATATCAAGGCCCTCTTGGCATTTCCCTCCAGACGTGATATAATCAGTCAATCTATCAATCATACTCAGAAACTACAGTCCCGAGACGGCCATCATCACAAGCGTCCCAAAGTCGTCCATGTCAGTAAACCATTCTCCCAGATGCCCCGTTCCCAAAGGGCTCGTCGCGTCGCTCTGGCCTTGCAAGAGGTTTCGATATGTCAGGATCCTCTTGAAGCTTCGGCCGCAGCTATCGTCTCGCATGTATTGCTTGCGATACTCTGCTTCCCATGTTGCTTGATCTGACGCTTGCCATAGCGTCTTGCTGCAGGGTAGCGGCAGCTCGGCGAAGCCTCCGCATTGGGGCAGACCTGGGCCGTACTCGATGTTGAATAGGTGCATGACGACGACGAGAAGTATCGCTGTGCTATTAATTTGAAAGGGTGTATGTCAGCTCACTGGGCCACAAATTACCATCGCGGAGAAGCAAATACCGTCGGCGAGACTCAGCCTCCGCCCATTCATCCCAAGTTGGGATTTGTCCAACATGGACCTCTCCATTGCACATCCAGCCATTAGGTCGAAGCTTCTCAGCTAGGCTCTAAGATGGAAATGTCAGTACTCTGCCATTCTCAATTGTTTCATCGGCTTATGATACTAACTCTGGTTGCCTCAAGCATTGACACGAGGAGGTGTTTGTCTGCAACATAGTCGCTGTTGTCGTCTAGTAGACCTACAATGACGTATATAGCCATGGCTTGGATAGAGGCAAGTGTAGTCCAAGTATCGTAAAACCAGTACTGCTGTCTTTCAGATACGATCCAAAGAATTCAGAACATGACACCGACCTCGTCGTTGATTCGCCGTGACTCCGCTTGAATAGTCCTCCATATGAAAGCCAGGTTCTCTGAAGATCTCTCCATGTACATCCGCATAATACTGCTACAGGTCGCCAGCGGTTCAGCCAACGCCACCGTGTGATTATCGACAGACGTAGACGGTCGAGATTGTATATGGATGAAAGGCGGGAGCGTTCCGTCATTGCGGCATAAAATTCCGGGGTAGGACCTCAACATGCTCAAGCAATATGCCCGGCTGAGAGTAGAGCCAAGAGGACCTGCTTTCAGATCTCGCTTCGCCAACAGAGTTTCTGTGTCCAACCAGTCAAATGACGGCGAAAGGGCAATGATTTGGAAGCTGCCAAAGACGACTCGATCCTTGAAATTATCAATTTTATCAATCTGAGGTGCAAGGAAAGGATCGGAAGAGCCGTTCCAAGAGAGGAGGTCTGATGAAACGAGGGCTAGCATGCCATCTGGGAGCGCGGTTTCATTGGCATTGTTAGTTCCTGGATTCGACTGCAATTCAGGCCACGTATCGGTGGAAAGCGCGTGGTCGAAGTTATTCCCTTCAAAGAGGTGCCCCAAGTCGTACGGAGAGGTTCCTCGTCCGATAGAAATATGTTTAGGACTGCCATCCAAGCCTTGCTTGGGAAGCTCGTTGTGAGACAGGGCTACTTCTACTTGATGGCCGGCAGGTAGGCTGGATGGCGCCTTGGAGGATTTGTAAAGGCACTGGAGACCCTTGTGGGCGCATCGTGAGCATCCTGGTAAAGCCATGTCGCAGCGTGTCTTGGCCTTGATGCAGGCGACGCAACATCTCCGGCGTGTGAGGGTGCCATCTTTGGCTTTCGTCCGACAGTACCGGACGTGGCGGGTGTTTTGCTTCTCTTGAGTCCGGTCAGATGGCTTAAACGCTCAGAGGAAGCCGAAGCGACTTACTGCTGTGGAAGGATTTGGTGCAGAATGGACAGGTGAGCGTGCCTTGGTGTTCCATAGTGTCGTAGCGTTTGTTAAAATACTCCCTCTTTGCTGAACTAATTCATCACATGAACGGATCGAATTCAGATATAAGAACCGGAATTCCGTGCTCTTCAGAAATCATGCGACCATTAAATGCCCCCGACCACCGTGGAGATGATTACAAACCTTAGCGGGGTCAGTGTAGGAGAGCACGGAATTCCGTGTCGCGCGAGCCGGCCAAGTAAACTGGACGAATCAAATACTTTGCAATAACGCCAAGGGGGCTGCAAATTCAGGAGCATTTTTGCTCTTCTGAGTGGAGCTGGTTCTTTCGTCGGAGAATTGTGTCGCGCCGGGATTGTCGCTGCCAGAATATATATATATGAGTGCATGAAATGTCCAAAGGACAACTCGCCAGCTACAGTCAAGTCTTTCTCCAATCCAATAATTCTACTACGCCATCTACGAAAATGACGAAACCAAGAGTTTTAGTTGTGGGCGCAACGGGGCGTACCGGTGGTACCATCGTCGACGTACTACTCAAAGCTGGCGAGACGGTGCGAAGCAATACCCATTACCCAGTCTCAGTGTACACTGCGTTGACGCTATCCCTAGGAAGTCGAAGCAATAATCCGCCCCGCATCAAACGGCAAGCCATCTACATTGAAGCTCAGAGACCGTGGTGTCAAGATTCACGTCGCCGAGATCAACGACGACGCGCAGCTCGGTGGTATCTTGGCCGGCATAGACACCATCATCAGCACCGTTCCACCAGAAGCGCAGCTCCAACAGATCCCACTCGCTGATGCGGCAAAGAAAGCAGGCGTCAAACGGTTTGTGCCTTGTGCCTTCATCACTGTTTGCCCTCCCGGCGGTGTCATGTGGATACGTGATGAGGTATGTACTTCAATCAGCTATCTCGATTTCCTTCTCCAACTAACGATTCCTGAATGTAGAAAGAACAAGTCTACCAACACATCCGCAAAATCGGACTCCCGTACACATTCATCGACGTCGGATACTGGTACCAAGCCTCCTTCCCGACACTCCCATCTGGACGTGTGGATTACGCCAGCTTGATGGTTCCAAATGTGACCATTGTGGGCAACGCGGACATGAAGACTGCACTTACTGACCTGCGCGATGTCGGTCCGTATGTTGCCAAGATTATAACCGATGATCGAACTGCGAATAAGTATGTCTTTTGTTACGGAGAGCTACTATCGCAGGAAGAGGTCTTTGCCAAGCTGGAGGAGATTTCACGGGAGAAGATTGAGAGACAATATGTTAGTGTTCCTGACCCTAGATCGATAAATGAAAGGATAACACTGACTCCTTTGATATTTAGTTGCCAGCTGACCAGCTCCTCGCCCTCCGCGACGCTACCAAGGCATCATTTGGACACGACTTCTCCGACATGAACAAAACCATGCTTGTCGTGGGCCTGGAGTATGCCTATAGCAAGTTCGTGCGCGGCGACAACTCGCCCGAGTTCGCGAAGTACTTGGGATACGTTGACGCTAGTGACCTATATCCCGACTTTGTTCCCCGGTCGTTTGAGGCCTTTGCGAAGGAGCTGGTGGATGGGAAGGCAGAGAATCCTTTTGAGGGGATTCGTATGGATGGCTTGTGATGTCAAATTGCTCCTGTCTGGAGTGTTCGGCAAAAACAACGGATCATGGTTTCGACAGAGAGAATTCAATTACATCATAACAACCATGTGCCTTAGTTCCTCAATCTCAAATGGCTCTGCTGAAGTCGGGCGATAGCAGTGACCAACGGTCCAGATGACAGAGTTCGCTATAGCTCACCCACGAGCCTGAGGTTGAAGGTCCATGACGATCGGGTAAGAACGTGACGCTTACTGAGGAAGAAGAACTGAAGGCAGGAGGTCGGAGAGAATTCGAAAGCAACATTTATGAACTATAATCGCCATCCTATAAGGGGTGAAGGTTCGCGCTTCACTGACTAGTAAGCTGGCCCTTCATTTTGACAAGATTCAAATTGCGATATATGTACCCTTCAGGCCTCTTGCAAAAACAAAACCAACATAAAAATATTACACACATGTCTACTTCCCGTCGTCACCTAAATCAAATGCTTATTCTTGAAGTGCAGAATCACAAACAATTCCAAAATCACACTTAACTCAAAATCCATACCCCCTCCCCTCCTAATCTCGACCAAATTGTCCTCTCCGCCAGCAGCCTTCCTCGCCATCGTCGCAAACACATACTCCGAGCCCCTCTGATCAGGCATGAACATTGCTGTCGGCACCAGCGGAAGTGGACCATCCCACCACAGCCGATAAAATGGCTCTGAAAGAGGGCCTGCCCGCCACGAGAACCGGTGAGGTTTCGCCGCTCGACCAGGCACCGTGATGATCGGTATCTCGGTCTGGTAATCCTCGACGGAAAACATGCCCGTACGAGTTACGGGACGCCATAGCGCGTCGGGTTGGGTGGGAGAGGAGGTGCATATTGTAGCTGAAGGCTGGCTTTTGTCTTTGTGGTTGGCTGACAGGCGTGCGGCAGCGATGGCGGGAAGCGTGCTGTCAGATGCGGGGAAGATCTGGATATTGCCGACTTTGGTGGACGGGGGGACGAGTTCGATGCGGTATAGAGGTGTCGGGTCGACTGTAAGAGAGATGTGATATCTTCCGGGGGAATCACGGACGATGGTAAGGTAGTCGACTTGGTTGTCCCGGATCGAGCATGTTTGTACGCTGCCGGCGATGCGACTGGCGGCGGTGGGGGCACTAGGCGCCGATGCTTCTTTGGAAGGGTACTTTTCCGAGTAGGGAGGTAAGTCGGCGGTATGAGACGACATTTTGAGTCGTGAGAAGATTGATGATGATGGTTTGTGGGCTGTAGAGTTTGTCCAAGAGGGTATGAGTAGTACAGATTGTTGGTGAGAATGTCAGCTTCTCTGAGTGCTTTATAGCATCGGTGAGCAGGCTACAGCTATTAATATCTACGGATTCTCTTGAAGGATGACCCTGTATTACGAAACCTCTGATACATTGATATCCTGACCTCAGTCACATGGGGGGTCAGAAAACCCCTCTTTTGCCCGGTCGGGCGGATCCGGGCGGGACAATCATGAACACGAGCAGCATCAATTGGAACACAATTGCCCGGATGAGATTGACCGGAATGGATCCGCCAGATTCCTTATAAGTATTGCCTTGGAAAAGCCTTGGCCGATTTGACACTAACCTTCCTACGCCACGACTGCGCCCCGACAAGTGATAGTCTAAAGCACCTAAAGAGGGCTGTCCAGCAACGGGTTTCTGCCTAATTTGATCACGCTGTGGCGTTGTGTCTGAGGGATAAACGAAAAGGCAGTCTGTCAATCAACTGAAGAGCTCGATTTAGTATGGATCCGTCAAAAAACCCCAACAAAAGCAGGGAACACAGCCCTGGCTTCACTAAAACCGATAATTCAGCACCTTTGTCTGGACCTAAAGGCGCCGAAGCCCTGGTTACAACGAACAATCAGTTCGATGCAACACCATTCAATAGCAATGACGATTGATTCATATGTGCCTGGGGAGAACAGTCTCGTTCGATCTGATCCTCCGACATTATCCTTATATTAAGCCAATCCATTCATATGACCAGCATCTACCACGGCATATGTCGACTCTTCAGATAACTTCTATATCGATCCCTCGCAAACTCAACATTTGACTCGATTACGCGCTCAATCACTCCCTCCTCCTTCCCCTCTTCTACTGATTCCAGGTCCACAATAACAATTCTGCCATCAACAAGGAGATAATTATCTAGCTTTGGGTCACCATACATCAGCCCGAAGGTACCAAGCTCACCATAGGCTACCTCCAACCGGCGGCAAAACTCTGCAGCATTTAATGGAGAATCTACTGGTTGCTCAAATGGCAGAACCCTGTTGACCTTGGACAGGACCAAAGCCCGCGTGCCGTCACACCATGCTAGTCCATAGCATATCGGAATGAGGTGGCCCTGGACCGGCCGCAATCGTTCGTACATGCACACCTCGTTGTTAAACTCGTCGTCCCGTTGGGGCTTCGTCTTCTTCAGAACGATTCGCGGGGGAAGGAAGTAGCCGGGGACGAGGGCTCGAGCGAAGTTTTGGATGGCATAGGGCAGTGCTAAAAGGATCGAGATGACGGCTTGATCAAACGAAGATCGGAGAATGGTCAAACGCAGGACGTTGGGATGCTCGCTGTCGCTCCAGTCGCCTACTGCAGACAACGTGTTTGCGTTGAACCGAAACTAGACAAAGCAGTCAGTTGAATGGGCTAAATAGTGCATTGACAGCAGTCGAATTCCCGACCTTGACTGATATCGGGTATGAATTCCCTTCATGTTCTTCAGCCATCATGGAAGCCGTAGTGAGGGACTGGACTGTTTCTGGAAAAAGATTACCTCAGGGGAGCTACCTTCAGTTATGGAAAAATACGAAGTCACGTGTGTTACTGCCGTGGGCGGTCACGACATTTATCAGCGAACACTTCAGGCCAAGTGACAAGCCGTTACCCATTAAATTAGACCATTGCGCGCCGCACTTGACGCCGATCAAGACATCACATCTGCCGAACTTTTTTCCCACTAGTAGGTCTTTGCCGAGTGTCATTATGGGGCAGGTGGTTGCTTGACTATCGTCTCGACGTGTTTCCTTGCGGTCAGCCCCTGGGGCTTGTCTGGCAGGTCTTGGGAGAATGCGAAGGCGGAAGAGTTCGAGAGGACCAACAGGCAAGAGGCTGCCGCTGATATCTCGCTTATCTAGAAATGTACCACTCGGCCCTGGTCCTACTTGAGCTGTGCTACTTCTTCTTCTCATTTCTTTGACGTGACGGAGTACCTATCAGAATGTCATCGTCAGTCGCAGCGCTCATCGGACAACACCCATCCAATACTTGCCATGAAACTCATTTGGTCTCAGGAAGCTCTAGAATATGGACAAGGTCATTCCCACCTATTACTAACTTAATCATTCACTTGCAGATACAGGGTGATCAGGCGACCCAGGCCGATTTTCGGGCTTTCCACTCTAAAGAAGGGGACGATTCTCTCAGGCTCCAAGAACACGGCAATACACCCAACGAGAGATCCCAACGATTGAACTCGTAGGAAGATGGGATTACGTGGTTCCACACCGAGGTGTCCGACGTCGTCCTTGCCGCCTTTAAAAGGTATCCTCATGTTTTACAGACTTCTCACGACAAGCCGATGTCTGAGTCTCGTGACGACCATGCTGTTGACTGCTTGTCCAGGGTTTTCGACGATGCCACGGCGAAGCAGCAGTTGCTGCGGCCCTAAATGGGCAAATGCCGTCTGAGCGATGCTTTTTCAACGGGGCCCCATTTTGAAGACAAGCAGATGGGTCTATCTCTAGACCGCAACGCCATCTCTGATTCGCCATCAGTTCGAAAAGGGCCGGCAGGTAAATTATCTGGAAGTCGATAGTGAACCCGTTGTGCAAACTTCAAATTGGTGGCATTTCTTGTATTCAAGCGATATCTAAACAGTTCAAGGTCGTTGTGCCACTCCCGAAATCGCCAGAAAGCCAAAAGCCAACAGGAAAGCTCAGAAAAAGATCGGCGGCAATCCTTTGCTTCCTCATGCGGTCTAGCTGGCCGAAGGCTCGAGCCCTTGCCGCTTCAGGCGGAACTCCCTCCCAGTCTCACGCGACTCCCTGAAGCCGTGGTGTTCCAACATGCTTCTAATTCTACATGTACCCTCCTTTCCAGAAGATGCCAAAGGCCTGCTAAATATCCAAGGGAACTACCTAAACGAATTGATCGCTGAAAAATTGGAGACTGGATGACGTTGATGGGACCGAAAGAGTTCCAGCCATTGGACTCGAATGATTGCCGTCTAGTTTCCGTCGAGCCTAGCGATGGAACGGGTGTTGACTAGGTTGAAACTGATGTTGACGAGGTTGAAACCAATGTTGACGGTAAAGGTCCACTCGATTTCGCCAGCGGTGATGCCAGCATTACCTAGAGTGATGAAGTTCTTGTCGAAAACGATGTTGATGGCAGCTCGCTGAAGCTTGGTCAAGTTGGCTTGCTTGATGGTGAAGGGCTGCATGAGTCCGGTAACGATTAACGGCTCGCCGACGACGGCCTTGACCCCAGGGACGTTGCTGGCTGGAGCCTGGTTTTTTGCAGCGGCCTGCATCACGTTTTGCCCAGGACCGTCCTTGAGAAGCGGTTTGATAGGAACGACCCAACCCTTCTTATTCTTGGTGTTGACGATGATAAAGTCAGGCGTCGACTCAATATTAGAGAACTCGATAAAGAAGCTGTCCATAATAGAGTAGGGAGACTCGCCGAGGGTAACGGGGCCCACCCAGCCCTAAAGCTCGTAAATCAGCTTGTCGTCGGAGGGCATGCGGTAGAAGCGAATCCCTCGAGTGCAGTCCACGTGAGTTCCCGAGGCATGGAGGAAAAGCATCTTGGAGTGATAATCGTACAGTGCGGTGATGCTGTCAGCTGGGAAGAGCTGGAGATGGACAACAAGACCAGGCATGATGAATCAGGGAAGGGAATCTGGATCTTATATGAGATGGAAGGGTGTTTAAATGTTGTTAGGCAAGTTGATTATGAGAGCGGACGAAGGGAAGCCGGTCATGATCAAGGTGCATGAGGCCTTCTTATATACATCAGGATTTCATTACAACGGATGCGGTCGTCCACTAACAATGCAATTGCCTACGAAAGCGTCTACATTGTGAGAGCACTGTCTTACGACTTTGACTTTGGGTTTCAAACTCTGGCATGCCACATTCCCCACCAAGCTAGCAAGCCAGCCATGCTTCACGCCATCGACTTGCATGGTATCACCGCTGACGACGAAGATGGCTTAATTGATTATGTATGATTGGCGAGAAAAGGTCGGGTCATGAGTCGTATAATACTATATACGCCGAGAAAATTAGCCACAATCTATGCCCCACCTGATAAGAGATTATTGGTCTGGTAGTGATTGAGATAGCTGTTTGGAGTACGCGTGCTTTTTTACAATATACTACCATATACTAGTAGATGTCTGGTGTTTGTTAGCTGTGTGTGACGTTCCGTATCTATCCCAAGAGTATAGTGTAGGCAGGGGGGCGTTCGGTACTTGATCGGAGCGTGATCAGGACGTCGGCGTTGAGTAATCGCGGTCTGGTACTGTGTCCAAAGGTAGGTTGATGTAACCAGGTGTGTTGACAGCTAAGAAGCTCAGAGCTTGTATCGTAGTGCTAAGAGAGAGTATTTAAAGAGTTTTTAAATATAACTTGGAACCTATTGTTGTTCCTGAGGGTCAGCATACTTTGGCACACCAAGTACGCGTCACGTTGCATAAGCGGCCAGAATTATCCGCCAAAGTCGAGTCACAACCCCCAAAAGAGATTCACGCCAGCGTGGGCCGCAGCTGTCACAGTCTAACCTCGATAGGTTGCTTTCATTGGGACCGAAACTGGGATTTGTCCCACTCTTGGGACCGGATGTCCCGAAAGACGTGGGTCAAAAGCTGGCGCGGCATGAGCAGTGCTGTTCGATATCCAGTGAGGCATCGAACAGCCCCAGTTATCTCGCATGAGATGTCGGAGTGTAGTCAATCAATAGATCCTAGACGCCGTGAAAGGTTCGAGAAAGCTCGATTCACATGGTCACGTAACGTCACCACCGTGAGGTTATATCGTGACACTACCCACACTCCATGAGGAACTAAGAGCTCCTGCGACGTGACACGTCCGTTAGGGACGGTTTCTCTGGGTACTGAACATGAAACTCGTAGAGTTCTGCCTCGAGCCTCAAGGACCATTCTGGAAGTCCAAGTAATCCTCCCTGATCAACCGTCACGTCCCATCCATTCTGTCCAGCAAATCCGCAAGGGCAATCGCCCTCCGCCAGATGGTCCGCGTTTCCGCTGCGCAGCCTTCGTTCAACCCATTGCATTCCCCGCTGGCCCTCATTCGCTGCTGCAGCAGAGAAATATCAGGACTCATGGTGCGCGGCCGAGTGTGAGGGTTCAAATGTCAATATCCAGCCAGTCGTAGAAGGGTCCCAATTTGACATCCACCGTGTCAACTCGTCTTGCTTCCTCTTATCGATGCAGCCGAAACATCACTCCCGTGCGTCATTGTCAGAGACCCAGTAGTGAGTGGCGGGTAGTAGAGTGTTTCAATCAAAGCCTACGAGCTGGCGATATGGCGGGGGTACCTTCAACCTCTGCGCATCGTCGCAGAGGCCGCTCAGCCACGATGTCGCTGGGGGCGGAGCGTGCCCATCCGAAACAGAATCTGGCGTCTCGCCGCGAGCGACGGCTTCCCGCACAGCCTCTAAGTCGGCCAGAACTTGTGGTGCCGACGAGTAGAGTTGTTTCCAGCATTTTTGCGGTGATAGCAGCGCATACGCATGCATCAGTGGGAAATACGCCGGCGCGGAATCGACGCTCGATTTTGTCTTCGTCTTTGGACTTGTCCAGGGGAACACCTCATGCCCCATTATGATGAAGTAGATGACACTTCCGAGGGCGAACAGATCCGTCCTCATGTTTGCATAATCCGCTGGTGTTCGGGGTAGGTATGCCTTAGTAGATTCGACAGAGAGCGCGTTAAGAAGGATATCGCCGTTAGCAGAGAAGCACTGGCCCTGGAAGTCGGCCAGCTTAAGGTCGAGATTGGCGTCAAGCAGGAGATTATCTTAGCGGATATCGCAGTGGAGGATTCGTTTCGAGTGGATATAGGCCACGGCTTCAGTGGCTTATATATACCAGGCTAGACGTCGCTCGAGAGATACCTCTGGGTGAGCTATGAGGTAGTCGTGTAGATTGCCATTTGGGGCAAACTCTAGGAGAAGACTGTCTTTCGTTAGGCCTTTGGACTGGACGATACGAGGATGGTGTCCGAGAACACTGAGAATCTTGGCTTCGATCTGAATCCATCTCATCTCGTCACGAGTGTGAGGATACTTGAGGACCGTCGTTGCGTCGACTTCGCCAATCCAGCAGCCACCGCCATGCGCAATGATCCGCTTGACTCCTTGAGGGAGATATCGACGAATCTCGACATACGTTATGTGAGACATGGCAGCAATTTTAATTCACCTGCTGTTAAAGAAACCAAAAACACATTGCCGTTAGATGGTTCAATGACTAGATGGCTGGTGGAGGTGCCAGCGTGTCGCGCCGGCTGCTTACCATCACAGGAATTGAAACGATGTGTTCAGAGCTGGTTGGGTAAAGGCGCATGCAGTTGATTGTGAATCACTGAGACTGTCATGATACACGCCGCATTCTTCTTTCGCATCGGCCGTGTCATATATAATGAAGCAAACAAGACTTGATCAAACTACAAAAAGGAAATAGGCGTTAATATCATGACATAATTCATTCCCTTTGTTCGTTGTGGAAAGCTGTCCTTTTTTAAGAAACCGACTTGTTTTCCTCCTTTGAGGAGTCAAAATCTTGCTCCCCTATGATCCAAACCCATCAAGAATTGCGGTTTTGTCGATATTTAACAAACTTTGGCCAAGTGTTAGTGAAGACAAGGTATTTGATGCTTGCTTCGGCCTCATGGAAAACGGTGGCATCGAAGCCGTCGGGGATATCACCCCAGTACATGGCCTTGTCTCCAATTGCATCCGTCTCGTTGATCGACTCGGCCATGATACCAGTCTCGGAACCGTGAGATGACGCAGCAGACGACCTGACTGGGGTAGTCATGGGAAAGGAGTTAAAGGGCGTAGCGAGATCAACCTCGCGCGTCTCCCCATAGAGACTGCGGGCGCACGACTCAAAAATAGTTTCCAGCTTCTTGAGGTCTTGGGAGGAAATGTTGATTTGGAATTTAGCATCCCGAGAGCTGATGAAGTCAATGTAGATTCGGAGAGCGCTATTGAATCGTTCGCGGACAAGTTCCTGGAGCTTGGCATCCTTGATCTGGATTGGGTCGTGAACCTCTGGAGGAAGCGAATACTTCCACTCAGAGACGGCTCTCAAGAAGGCAATATTCTCTCCAGAGAAATCCCGGAGGGCAGAGAATCGCTGAAGAGGCCCAGGGTTTCGATCAAGGACGTACTCAAGCGCTTCCATGGTGAGGATACTCGCACCGGAGTCGCTTGTGGTGGAGCCGCTATTTGTAGAGCCATCCTTTGACTGTGCAGTCAGATACGAGCCAGCTGCCCGTGTGGATATTGTGGTGATCGACCTTGAGGCCTTGCCGACGCGCTTGTTAAGTTGCCATTGAGCGATTGACTCGAGGGCCTCCTGATGTAGAGTCTGGTATCTAGCGACTTCCCAGCAGGGAAGGAAGATAGTGAAGCTCTCGAGCAACATAATGGAGAGGGCAATCCTTGAATAGAGTGAGCTCGGTCATCATGTGGATATTAAGATAGCTACCATTGAGGAGGAATCCAGTATTTATTAACCGCAGACATGGCAGGAACATATAAAGCAACAAGCCACATAGGGGTAGCATGAAGACTGCTAAGTGGTCAGTATAGAGTTCGGTCATTTTATCAAGAGACACTAACCTTGAAAGGCAGCAAACAATAGTTTGGGTCCTCCATCCTTGTGTATCATTGATTCCACGGGCCTCCCATAGGATGTAGGGAGCGACTATCCACGCCCAGAAGAACTGCCAAAAGACAGATGGCCACCTAGAGAAATATATTAGTACTAGATTATTCCGGAGATATAGTTAATACTACCATTCCCAGCCTCTGCGCATTTGAGACTTCTGAGCGTCTTCGGTTCCTGTAACCTCAGTACCTGGGATGCCGAAGGAGGAATGGAACTTTCGCGAAATGAGGAACATAAAGAGTGTAAGTAGGAGCTGTCTTTTAGGTCAGCAATTGAAATGGGAATACCACCCTCAAGCTGCATTACCTGAAAAGCCATACCCGCGCCCACAAAGATTAGAATCTTTTGCGTGTAGTTGAGAGATTGAAACCGGCGGAGAAAGGACTTGGTCTTGGCAGGCGTGCTTATAATGGAGGCAGTGTCTGAAGCAAAGAGTTCCTTCTGGGTCTTGGCGACATAGAGAAAGCGGCTGTTGGAGGCATGGAATAGAGCTATACCACATGGGAGGTAGACACTCATGATCCAGAACTCGATCTCGGGTGCAGCAAGAGGGAACCAGACATAGCCGGTCTGGACTGCACCCCAGTAGAGATGGAGCAACGTAATAGCAAGGAAAGATAGTGGTAGACCTCGAATCCTCAACATGGGCATGTCGCGACGCCGCCAGAGGAAGATCATGCCGCCTGCGACAATAAAGGTCCACGAGAGGGCAAACGTGATCCAAAAGATGCCGAGGCCATCGAGGTTGGCATGGGGTTGTGGAGGCTTGGCCGCCATCGAGCCCGACTCGGCCATAATTAAATGTGAAGAAATGTGCGAAGCGGGAATCAAACAAAACGATGGAGAGGCTTCTCTGAAAGAGAAGAGGCACTTAATGCACTTGGTCAAACTACCTGGCATGGAAGCAGAAACGGAAAAGGAGATGAGGGCACACATATATGTTGCTGGCCAAGGGATCCGAGAGGTCTGAGAGACTTGAACACCACCAATGCCGCCGCAAGGACTGGTCCTGGCACTTGGCAAATCCTACTAACGTAGCTAGCCCAGTCGGGATGCTGATCACCAGGGGCTTCACCACTCAGGCTCCCGCGATTCCAATGATGTTGCCTCTTTCCGCCGCAGGGCTCCCCCGGGTTGTCAACGCTCTAGCCCCCCGGAGCCGGCCGCGTTATCACGTTTGTGGGAAGTAGTGCCAGGTCTCCTCGACGCAACGGGCCTAGTCGTGGCTCGAGGCTTTGCGCAGAGGGTGAGTGAGCAGAAGCCGCCGCCGTCATGATGACAATGTTGGTTCCTCACACGCTTCAGGCCAGCTTAGCTCAGCCGCAGTCCATCTGATGCAAGTTCTCCGGATGGATGCTAGGGCTGAGCGGCGTCTGGCACTGCACAGCATCGGCACACGTAACAGCGTCATGCCCCCGTCACTTTGAAGTGTGCGTGTTTCCATTCGTCCCAGGCGTTGAGCCGCTAGATCCCTAAGCGCTTTAGCCTCCGCCTTCTGCCTCTTCGCACAGGTCAAAGCGGGCCGCAACGAGTTTTCATCTGTAGTGTTTTCCCCTTTGAGACGGAGTGTGGACGGAACAGGTCGCGTGGACATTCCTCAACACTTCAGATTCTCGTCCGTCGTGCAATCACACGCCTTATCACACGCACAGATCCATTGCCACTCAGCCAAGATGCCCGTCGCCCTGACCCCTGACCACCTGTACGACCGGCCAAAACTCGTCCGCCCTCGTGTTAGTGCGCCACATGTGCTCAGTTGCATGGACGAAAAATGCCTATCTTGAACAGGTACAGTAGGGATGGAATTCAACCCAGCGCCGCCATGTTATCTGTTGGATCTTGCAGGTTTGGTTCCACGGGGTCACGGTGCATATGCGGTCAACCGCGTTGGGTCTCCAGTATCTGGGACAGGACGAAGCCAATTATATTCGGTGGTGCAGGATCCCTGGGCTTTATGCGAGAACCCCAAAGGGGCTTGCAACCCACATAGAGTGTTGCTACATTGATTGGGTCGTTGATGGTTCTCGGCTCATGTTCAACGAACGTCTGTCTACTGTGGAGGCGGCGGAGTCGCGAGACGTCCACTCGACACCAGCTGCAGAAGATCCCTTCTGGGGGCGTTTGGTACTGTTTTGCCTGCTGGAGCTGCGCTCTCAGTGCAAAAGTATGGGCTGCTCACTGTAGCCCACTATAACCCACTATCGTAAAGCGGCTCTACCAGCTGCAGCCTTCTCTTTTATAGCAGGCTGCAGAGCTGAGGTGTAGTCGCTACAGGCCGCTATAAAATACAGCGCTACAGTTGGCTTCAGTAGCTAGCTATAGCCCTGTATTGAATTCTTTTACCGCTTTGGGATCTTTTTTCCTTCTTTCTTTTGCGCACCGTGCCTATTGTGCGACAGGTATCTAGCATAGCGACTAGAACGCGACCGGGCAGGCGTTCATTCGGATCATCTAAAAATTTTGCGAGTGTTTGAGTTGAAGTAGCGCCCTGTTTTGACCCAAGACGGCCACCGCTGATGACGCAAAATTCTGCATGGGGTTGAATCACGGCTCAGTTGCACTAACGAATCGACGGCCTGTTAAGCCGGGACGCGGCCTCGTCCAAAACACAGTTGCAATTTGGTGGCTGCTCAAATGAGAATTTAGGGCTTGATTACAATTGCCTATCTTTAATGTCGGGATCATTGTCGATAGAAGCGGATTCCGCAGGCATGTGCCAGAAGCTAAAACCCACCGTGGCAAAGGGGAATGAATGCGCACTCCGCTATGCGTAAGGCGTAGTGCAATTTAGAGCCTGTCCACAAGCGCCCGCTAGCTTCGGAATCTCATCGTTTCAATCACGCGAAGTTATTTATAGCTGGCTACGGGGAACAGGGTCTTGAGTGGGTATTTGCCATTGAGGTTCTGATCCATTTATCCCTGACTGTTAGTTCGTTATTCTAGGAAATAGTTGAGGCCTTCGGGCTGTCCGGCCAAGACGGAATCACCGGACTCCACCACAATGACGAACATGAGTCCCTCATCAAACTCGCCGGATGACACCTCAAACGTCATACGGAACTAAGAGATCGAGGTGCTGAGCCAGGAAATCACGGATGAGGAGGGCATGTACCGAATCCGGGCACTAACAGAGTCTATTATCTCACGATATCCTTACTTCCCAGCCCCATGTTTGACTAGGACACCTTGTGCCGTCCGTATCTTCTGATCCCAAGGCTCCCCCCGCTCCCAGACGCAGACGCGAATCGCTTGAACTTTGCGGTGGATCGTTCAACGGGGCAAGCGAAAACGATTGACTTTGAGCATGCCGAACCGTATGATGAGGAGAAGGCGCAGTTGGAGCTGAGAGAGTTGAGAACCGAGCTGTCAAAGACGACTGGAAGAGGAGCAGCAGGCAGTAGCGACAGTCAATGGCGTGGAGCTGAACGATTCAGCGCCTGTCCATTAACCCCAGGACGCGCAGAGGTAGAGAATCGGTATCTCTAGATTGTGATACCATAGCGGTTGTCCTTTCTCCGGTCATGTCAAGATCTGGTTCGCGTTGGCTTTCCCGGTTTGTATAAGTTTAGTTTCTGTCTGTACCGGCTTTGATGACTGCACGCACAGAGAACATACTCAAAAATCGTCACCCCAGTAATGGAGCATTCGACGAATTCCAGAACACTCCCTAATGTGGTCTATAAACCCACTCTTTGCTCGAAGTCGGGTCAATGTCGCAAGAAGCAGACGAGCTGGGTCGATATTTGGTGGCAGAGGGTCTCCAACCGCAGAAAAGGGCCTAGACCCGAGAAAGTGCCCAGACTCTTCGTATTTGCAACCTAGACACATTCGGCCATAATCAGGACCAGAACTGGTCAAAACAGGCATTCGGATAGATGCCATCCCGCAATACTTGTCTCTCACATAGTTCTCATCTGGTGGGAGCTTTGACAGGTCGCATCCAGGTGGCTCTAAAGGGGCTTCATGAAACCGCCTGAGAGTGTGGAACTCGTTGTACTCCATTCCAGACGAGTCTTTGGGCATGAGCTTGGCCACATTCTCTGGCGAACCGTGCACGTCGATTGCTAACTGCTTGAGTTGTTTGATGCTGACGAGACGGTGAATCTGACGATGTGTGACCTGCCACATAACACAATAAGAACCAGGAATGCTGTGCAGGATAGGTATTCTCCCTATCTGGTCGTCCGTCAAGGCAAACCACTGTTTCGCGAAGGTCACCGTCGTCATGTGGAGTGCGTGGTTTTCGTGAAGACAGTCAAAGCAGACTCTCTCGCAGGTTGGGAGGAATAGAAAGGCTCCGAATTCGAAACAGGAGACACACTGCCCTTCCAGAAGCACTTGTCGAAGCAACGCGGCCGAGTGAATTTGAAGCAGCCGTGTTGCTCCCAACGCGCCGAGTATTGCTGGGGAATGTGTCATCACATCGCGATATGATCGCAATGCTTCTACGGCCCTCTTTCCTTTAAGAGAGACGCGGGAAAGCCGAGACAGGGACTGGAAGTCGAGGAGGTCGAGAACTTCAAGAAGTAGTTCTTGAGGCAGGACATCGAGGCGACCAATGGATGAACTACTAGAGTCCCGTGATATGGTTGACGGCATTGACAGGCGGACAAGGTGAGGTTGAATCATGTCGCGCAGATCATTCTCTTCAAAGTTGGTGAGCTTGCGAAGGCGTCTCCTAGAGATCTCTGGCTGGGCCGTCATTGTTACGAGAGCGGAGAGAAGGATGGACGGTGCTGACTAGTGTCAAGTAACAAGGCAAACGAGATAAAAAATTATAGTAGAGCAGGTGCAATGTAATAATTCCCCTCTGTTGAAGGGAAATACCAAGGGAAGGGGGATAGAATGAGTACGTTGCTGATGAAAGGAATAAAAGGCAAGACACACAAAGTGTCTTGATCGATTGAGGAGAAGGCATTCTGCCACCGCCTTACCGTCGACCTGCGGAAGGACTCGGCCCGGAACAGGGCCCGTTGTCGGTCGCTGACACCGGGCAAGGGGCTAGGGAAGCCGTGCAGTAGGGGTCTCCTAATTGGATATAAAACGGAGGGATGGATTGCTGAGCGCCTTGAGATGCAGGATATTCTACAGATTAAGGTACTCAAGTATTGAATTATGGACCTAATTAACCCTGGCTCTAGTAATATTAGTTATACGCTGTACCTTTAGCTCAGCTGGTCAATCCAACATCCAGTATAAGAGAAGTAAGTGCGCCGTGTTCCAATTCTGCACAAATCACCTCTTCACGTCTTTACCCCCATTTCATAGAAAGAAATACGCTGCATTTTCACCTCTAGATACGTCGAAGAAGCAGTATCGATTGATACTCGCACGGAAGAATCTACCCATCGTCTGAGAAGTCTGGCAAAGAACGGGCCTTCGGGTCATCCTCCAACGCCTCCACTGCCTAGGCTGGAGCTGATCAGAATAGATCTGTGATACGCAGTAAGAGGGCCAGTAATACTCGATCCTCTGCGCGATCAAGGCTGAGGTCTTGGTATGCTTTGATGAGAGGTTGTCAAGCCACAGTGCATTTGCTTTCTCACTGGAAGGCGACTTGACGCTCCCTCCTCTCGTAGCATTTTGTCCATTAGCCATCTCAGTCGAGTATATATTTCTTGAACCATTGCCAGTAAACCAATGTGGTCCATTCCTTTATGTGCTCGAGAAAGGCAGCTATTTTATGGATACCCAAGCCGGAGTTGGTGCGACCGATTGGTTGATGGAGCCAGAGGATCTGTAAATAGCAAGCAAGTTAGAGGACGTTACTCCAGGACAGTTCTTGGGGTAGGGCATACGTACAGTTCTCAGCGATGGTGTGCCATCTGGGTTGGTCTTCTCGGGGGACGTTGCGGCGTAATACCAATCATGTCCCTGCATGATGATGCCATGTAAGGCCCCCAGTTCGTCCAGCGCGTCGTCCACGTACTGCGCTTCCGAGCGGGTGTCGTCTCGACTGGCTACGAGTCGCGCGGGTGCAACTCCATGCAGCAATGAGCGCAGCATCTTCCAGTGGGCAGCTTGCCACATGGCGATTTGCAAGACAGCCCCGTCGAAGTCGTCGCCAGATCTCGTAGTCTCGAGGCTGACGGCGATCGGGTACGAATGCAGAGCGCCGTAGGTTGTGTGGTTGATGCTCTTCCGGGGGAGCTCTTGGCGCAGGGATTCGGTCTTGATGGCGTAACGAAGATCTGGCTCCTCTCGAGGGTCAATGTAGAGACAGAAGTCGATGTGTCTGTCGGGAGCGGGTGTGGGGAGATAGTCTTCAATGATCGAAGCAGTGGTGCTGGGTACCAGGCATTAGTGTAAGTAGCCAACCAAGACGTAGCTATGTGTACTCGACTTACCAAAGGCTAAAGTCGACGAGACGTTCATCTCCAGTGCGAAACACATCCTTGAGCAGCGGGTTGTGCACCTCGATGTTCCACACGGGCTCATCGTGACCCATCTCGAAACAGCGCTGGGCATCAGAGCAAATGCCATCAACAGTCTCAGGCGTGAGCCAGCTGCCCTCGTGAGTAGTGCCTGCAAAGGCAGTGTGGTCAAGGTCGAATTCCTCCATCAGGGCGTCCATGTCTGGCGTGTTCATTCCAGGCGCGAGGACGCCCTTGCAACGCTCAAAGCGTTGGATCTGGAGGAGCGCGTGTTTGATGGCCTTGGGGAGGTGGGGCGCGCGGGGACCGGTTAGTTGGCGTTTGACGATGCCTTCGTTGGCGAGGTCGAGCGAGGGGAATTTGCGACGTAGTGATGATGCGTTGGAGGGGGTGGACTTTATGGATGACTTGATCGGTGAGGGTGAGCGAGACGGAGATAACTGAGCAGCGTGTTCCAGAGCGGCGATGCGGTTGAGGAGAGCAGCTAGAGGAGGCTGGTCCAATTCATCCAGCCTGGATTCTACCCTCCTCCTCTTGTTTGGTGTTGATGGCCCGCTCATGGTGGAAGCTTCGTCGTCGTTTTCTTCAGGCTCTTGGTTGAAGGGATGGGCTCGTTTATGTGTTGGTGTGGTTGGGGTTGATAAGGAATCGCCGGGGTATTGCCGCTGGTGGATCGTGTCAAGCCATTCGTGAATAAAGGCGGATGTTTCCATGTCGGTGGGATTCAGGTCAGCGAGGGTCGATAGTTTTGCCTAGGTAGACATGGCATATAACCGAGTCAAGAGAAGAGTTCGCGATTCATTAGAATTGGATCAACCTACCTAACTTAGAGGTCAGCTAGCAACCTCACCAATCTGAGCTACCCCGCGCTTCATTCAGTGTTTCTTTGGCGGGTCCGGCTGTCGGAACGCAGATCCCGACGAGCATCTGTTTATGCCTGAGATGCTAGGCAACCAGCGACAACGGCGATTGCCCCTGGGACACACCGACTGTTAGAGATAAGGTCGTTAGAGGTAGCCAGTCATCATCATACAGTTAATTATGCAGGTCAGAGCATCTTCCCTGTGATTCCCACTACGTAGTCTACCGTACGGAGTATAGACTCGACAAAGTGGCCCCCAATCTTTCACACTAGTACCCGCAAATTACTCCATGGAGGTTTATAAGATCTACCAATGACCAAGGGTCTTGGAGCCCACATGCTTATCTCTGTAGATCACTTCCCCATACAGTTAATCAAGGGGCATTTTGCGGGAAATATTGCGGGCCAATTTGCTAAGCCCTACAGTAGTTTCCCATCCGATACCCCACTCCAACTACCATTATTGGTCGATTCGAGTTGCTCCGGCTCCCCGGATCATGCGAAGAGCTGCTGTATGATAAGCGAGGGATGAGGGCACTTGTAAAAGAAGATTGCCGAGATGAAGATCTAGTGCACGGTCTCAGCTGAATTGTCGACGTTTGAGACGACGGGATGCTCACCTCCATGGGCATAACCTTATGAGTGGACGAGGGACACGGCCATGACGAGTTGGGCAGCAAGAGATCGGGCAACATCAAGCTGAAACAGGGAGCTGCCCGATGCCTCCCTTGCGTCTCGTAAGCTGCAGCGTGCCGGAAGGGTTACGAGGCATGGATGATCACGAACGACCGGAATTAGCGACAGCTTGTCTTCCGAGTCGCTGCAGCTTGCTCTACCCCATCGACGTATCCGTAATCAACAGGTGATGATGACATGGTCGAGTAGTAGTAATGCGACAGGAGGAAGCTGGATCCCATGGGCAGTGGAAAACAAGGGCTCCCAGGGCAAACCCTTTGGGTTGTCGCACGCCACGAATGGGCCTGACGTGATAGCCAAGTACTCATCTGTTGCACGCATGGGAGGTGACTGCTTTTTAGTACTGGATGAGTCCCAGAGCTGAATGGTCGGTCGTTCTGAGGATGTGTTGGAGACAGTGTCCTGATTAATCACCGTCGGGCAGCGCTCCTGTACAGTGGAGTTAGCGCTTGGATTTAGCGCGTATTCACTGGAACAAGCCCCAAGAGGGCTCGGGTTAATCTTGGCTTCAGGTCGAGTAAGTCGGTCGCGGAGTGTCGTAATCTCGGTGATAACGCCTTCCCAGCTGTTAATACTGATCTTGGTGGTGTTGACGGCAATGGGAGCATCGGGGGTCGGTGCTGGCATCTTCACTACCGTTAGTCCTCTGCCTCTAGTCTCGCAATCGCTGAGCTCCGTGTTGTTGGCCTTGCCATCGCCGCAAATGTCAACACTGACTCTGGAAACATCCTCAAACTCGCACTCATCGCTGCTGTGACCAGAAGAGTTCACACTCCGAGGAGAATTTATTGTAAACACCAACGAGTATATTAACCTTATTCTCGTACACTAGCTATGATGCCCGGCGCAATTCTATAGAATTAGACACGCAGCCTAGGCCGGCTAGATAATCCCTAAGGGCGCAAGAGAAGCCGTACAATCGAGTCATACGCTCGACACCTTTAATAAGGTAGCTCCTCACAACAATGAATGGTTAGACCGTTAATGAGCAGAATCACTAATTCTGCTCTGAAACATCCGGAACTCGATTCTGTCATTTCCTCCTCAATTAATCCCAGAAGAACCTGTGGAGGCAGGTTGCCAGCTCAACAAGTTACTTCCGTCCAGCCGTCGGAGTTCTCACCGTCGTCGTCACCCCCTTCCTTTTTCTCATGCTCCCGGGGCATCTGATTGAGCTCGATTGCACGCTTCTTCCACATTGTCTCCTGGATCCCGATCGCCTGCAGTGTCTGCTTTGCCTCATGCTCATCGCGCATCTGGAAGAGTTCCTTTTCACGCTTCTGCCACATTGTCTCCTGGGGCCTGGTGATCTGCAGCCTCTGCTTTTCCTCGTGCTCCCGAAGCATCTGTTCAAGTTCCTCATCACGCTTCTTCAAAATGGACCCCTGAGGCCTGATGATCTGCAGCGTCTGCTTTTCCTCCTGCTGCCTCTTCTCGTCCTCTTCCTGCTTCTTTCTCCTTACTTCCCGCTGCGCCTCTTCATGCTCCTGGCGCATCTGATCGAGTTCCTTTTCACGCTTCTCCCAACGACGGGGCGATTTGTCAACCACTTCTTCGACAGCAGGGTTGACATGGGCGACCCGAGAGCCATTGTCGCATACAATGAACTCTGGCATCTGTGCATCGAAATAGGGCTGCGGCACAGACTCTGCTCCGGGGACGCCGATGGCATAGTCTCCGTTCTTGTCAGTCTGGAAACTGAAAAAGCCTTGTCCGGAAACTGCCGACCAAACGATGCGCAGTTCGCGGTTGTCCGTCAGCTCAGCATCTTGGACGCCATCGCGGCAGGCAAGTTCGTCTGCCAAGTCAAACTTGGACTTCTCGAAGAAGCCTGGTGGGTAGAAGTAAGGGTCAAGATGCAGCGCCTCCTCCACGCCCCAGGCAAGCGAATCGGTATCTTCCTCATCGACAGCCTCGGGTGTGTTATCTTCCTCGGCTTTGTTATCTTCCTCGACTGTGACATCATCCTCGACTATAACATCTCCCTCGTCTATCCAATCTGCCTCGTCTGCCTCATTTGCCTCGTCTGCCTCACCTGCCACACCTGCCTCGACAGGCATGGGGTCGAGATGCAGGGACTCGTTCGAGTCCGATTCGTTCTCGGAGTCTTCGGCTTTGCGCTCGGCGATCCTGAGCTGCTTGTCTTCCCACTTCATGGTTGCAATCTGCTTGTCGCTGAGAGGTTGCTTCGGCTCACGTGGAGAGGGAGCCTGCCGAGCGAAGGGGAAGCCACGGAGCAGGCGATCCTCGGGCAGTACCACAGTGAACAGCCGCTCCTCGCCTAGCTTCACGGGCTTGATGTTCTGGGCCTCTTGCCCCTGCTTGGAGCCAGTGGCCTTGGTCGTGGTGTCGTCCACCATGGCGCTCTTGGGCTGCTGTTCTCGCTTACGCGCAAGGTACTCCCTCTGCGCGTCCATGCCTGTCATGCCGTACTTTCCCGGCTTGTTTCTGGCGTTGAGGGGCACCGACTGCATGGGGAACTCCTGTCGGAACAGCATCTCCCAGGCCTGGCCGCCTCGGTCCTTGAGGCGGCGTACGAGGAGGTTGAGGAGGGGTGCCATCAGCTCCACGTGGAATGCGTAGCCACAGCGCTTCTTCAGGTCGGGCCGTGAGTTCAGGCAGCGCATGAAAACAAGAAGAACGTGCAAGTACTCCCACAACTTCAGATCCTGGGTCACGGGCCGAGTCAGGAGGCGAATGTTGACGGCAGACAGCAGCTGGATCGCCCTATCGACCACGGCTGAGTTATCATCTAGCAGCAACAACTGGCACAGTACAAGACCAATTTCGGGGCTGCAGCCAGTTAGTATGGATGATTGATTTGATGAAAAAGGCCAAGATTTATGGATACATACCTGGGGCGAACTGTATAGCTCTGGATAGATGCCGCGACCGTGGGGGAAGATGGGACTGATCTGTTCACGGCCCAGCCAGATAGGCCTCTTGACGAGGGGGCGGTGGCATCGGCCTTCTTGGCATACTCTCCTTGAGTCGCGCGGGAAGCATCCGCAGTGGTTGTCTTCTCGTGGATGCAATAGTTCACCTCCGCGTACTGCGACGCCGGACCAACCGAGGATGGGGCCCAGTTGATGATGGCACCGGAAGGCTGCGGAAGCGGTGACGTTCGGAACATGGAGAACAGCTTAGGAGGCACAGTCGACTTGGAGTCGTTGATTCCAGCGACGAGCGGGAGCAAGCTGCCAAAAGCGAGCAGATGAGTCGCCTTGCAAGTGTCGAAGCCGCTCTGTTCCAGCTCCTCGGACGGGGCCGAAGCCAGAACCAGGCGGGCAATGGCTGTGAACAGATTGTCTTCGTCCAACGAGAGGACCTGGTCCAGCTTGGTCGACGTCTGGCCCTTGGGTGCCACGAAGTGTGGAAGGATGGTAGAGATCATAGTCTTCCACGCCATAGCAAATGGCCGGCTCACAGTCAGTGCCTTGAGGACGTTGAAGAAGCGTGCCGAGTAGTTGTCCATGGACAGGATGCTGAGGTGATGGTAAAGGCGACCAGCGGTAGGATCTATGTCCGACACAATGTTGTACTTGTTAATCGCGACCTCTTTCCAATGCATCTTCACATCGGTGTCCTGGTCCTCAATGGCGAATCTAATTCAGATTGTCAGTGTATCTATCGATCGGCCAAGTGGTAACCCGACGTACCTGTATCGAGCCAGATCTCCTGCGCATTCGACGGTGAAGTAGCGGCTGTCAGTCGTCTCCTCCAGCAGCTGCATCATCGAGTATGACCGAATGAGAAGAACCAGCATGTGTTCCGAACTTTCGGGCATTCGGGCGCGCAGGACTTCGAGATGGTCATGCACGCCGTGCTTCCAGAGTCTCGCAGGCATGCGGTGTTTGGCAGCCAAACCTCTGAGTGCTTTCGAGGCCCTGGGATGGCTCGATGCCAAGAGGAAGTCATGCATCTCGTCGATGCCGGCTCCGTGGAGGGCTCCCAGAGCGTGGTATTGGACGTTGGTCAAGCTGACATTCATCCACCTGCCCTGAACAAACATGTAGTAGATGTCGCCGATCTTCTTGTACCGACTTGGGTCTTCCAAAGGCCGGCTGTCGGCTAGAACTGGATTTTGCTTCTCCTTCTTCTTCTGCTTCTTCTTCTCCTGCTTGGCCTCGCAACGCTTACACTTCACGTTATTGGCATCCAGTCCGGCCTCCTTCTGGGTGTCGCAGTTAGCCTCTGCCTCGGCTTCGAGTGGGGTCCTCATGGCTCGTTCGGCAATGTTGTCATTTGCCTTCTCCGTCGCCTTGTCGATGGCTGCCAGTAGGTCACGGCCAACGGTGAGGGCATTCTGTCTGACCACCGCCTCTGCGTGTCCCTCGTCGCCCATTGCCGTGGTGGTGAGATGGGTTGAGGCTTGTGAGTCGGGCCATGCATACTCCCTTGCACGAGATTTCAGAGCAACCACCAATCCCTGCACGCACTCGTCGATGGTAGGGACGTGAAGGTCCAAATTCGACGGCAAAGAGCGGATCGCAAAGGCACGGGAGATAAAGAGGGAGATGTACGAGGCCGTCGCGTCATCCCCTATGCATTTGCTCACAAATTTCTCGATCCCCTCGAGTGAGGATAGCAAGGCCTCGCGGATGACTTTTTCCAGGTCGACATGGCCGCGCTGAAGTAGAGCCAAGAGATAGTAAGGGATCACAAGTAGGAAAGGGATGACGTCGATAGAGTGGATTTGGTGCTTGAGAGTTTGGGCTTCGTCCACCTCTACACATTTCGTTTCGATCGTCGAGTAGCCAGCGTAGATGCCCTTGACTTCGGCAATCAAGTGTTCCAGAGAGATGGGGGTAGTTGAGGGGCCGTGTAACAGAAACTCTTCGGAATCAACGAGATCACGGCGACCATCGTGCCATGGCCGTTGGGAGTACATCGGATGTTCGCTGAATATCAGTCGCCAATGTGCTTTTCGCTTGGCGCCTGTCCCCGGTGTGGAATTGGATTCTGCCATGTTCGATGTGGCCTGGCCCCTAGTATCAAGGAAAGCGTTGAGGTTAGCAAATTGCAGGTAGACTCGACGCAGAGAGAGACTGCAGAAACTAGGACAGCCACTACTTACCCATCAGACCCGTCGCTCGACAAAACGACAATGGTCTTTGATGACGTGGCATCGTCGGTACCGGACACAGCAGCAACAATGACACTCAAAGCAGTAGAGTCGACATTGTCAGCATGGTCGGACAAAGTGGCACTGTCCTTGGACAGGAGAGCATCGCCGGCCGACAAAGCAGCATTAGTGTCCTGACGGACATCAAGTTGCATGTCGTCGGCCATGATAGAATGGGAATGGAGAAAGAGATAGAATCGTTTGTGTTTCCGGGTTCTCAACTCAAGTCAGCTAAGAACGATGACAAGAGGTTTGGGTTCTCAGAGCAGGACGGGGAGCGGAGGACCGCTATATAAGCACTCTCAAAAAAGCAAAAAACGTCGCGCGAACTACGAGGCATCCAGGCAACTTAACACCCGCTTTTGGGTGTCCCAGCAAGGCCTTTCTTATGAGACATCTCGGCTGAGGGGTTATATCATTCGCAGGACATAGGCACTAGCGGACCTTGGCGGCGCATCTGTTGAGAGATGGCTTTCTGAGGCAGGCGAAGTTGAAATCTAGATCTTTCGCGGGGATTCCCAGCTCGTCCTCACCGTGTCCCCAAACCGTCTCGAGCTGATCCTCAAAACAACGAGGCTGGAGAGCGTCCAATGCCTCGGGAAGCTCGCCCATGATCCCCTCGAGGCAATCCACCGTCATGTCGCCTGCTTTCGTAGCAGCAATATACTTGAAGCCTCCGATTTCCCGTTTCCGAAGACGGCTTTTATTGGGTGACTTCCCTAGGCCAGCAAACCCAGTCCTCCACGACTGACGCGCATATCCAAAGCAGGGCGAAGAAGAGCGGCTCCGGTCGGTGTGGTTATACCTGCACAGCGCCTCGGCTGCCATGTACTGCGTCGTGTCCGTCTTACTTTGTCCGATCAAGGTCGATGAGCATCCAATTGGCGTCTTTGGGTCTGTAATGATGTTATTCGACGAAATACCACAGTGGAGAGTATTACCAGCTGTCTATGGACACCGGTGTGCCTTGATTGCATCTCACATTGACTCCAGCAGTTCCTTGCCTCTTCTGATAACGCGACCGGCTGGCGAGGCGACGAGGCAGAAATAGATCCTATTCTCCCACAGATTCTCGCCCGGCCTGTCTCAGACTCGGCTTGTTCTTGCCGGCCGGCAGCTGGTCGTTCAGCTCCTGGGCCAGCATTGTCTTGGTGTCGGACCGCGCCCTCGTGGATCCGGACGCGTTGTCGGACGTGTGATCGGATGCTGACTTGTGCTCGCGCTCGCTGTGACGGACGGATGATGTTCAAAGTAAACGGCCTTATCCCGGAGCCGGTGGGAGTCCGGAAAGCGTTACACGAACACGTTACACCAGGGCTTCCCTCATGTCTGCAATCGTGGTGACACGATCAATCATGGTGGGTGATACGGCGATGCGCCACTGCCTTGGCCACACCTTTGACGTCTCGCTCTTCAGTAACTTCAGTTGCTCTACGTCCGGCTTCGGCTTGTCTGAGGCCCGCGAGAACTTCGCGACGTGGCCATCTCGGGTTGCATAGCACGTCGTCCCGCGAGACACAATGGCCCGCTGCCTCACCATTAGATTCGGTCAGCCTGACCGTCGTTTCAATGCCGACCGCGTCATCCAGACCGGTCGAAGAAACCAAGTTCGAATCCCAGCCGAAGCCGTGTCACCGGGATCCCCCAGTCCAGCGCGAGCAATAGCGCGAGCAGTAGCGACGACACTATTTACTAGCAGGCGTTTGACATCCCGCGACCCGCGATACTAGATGCCTCTATCGCGGATTGGCAGGTTCCTAATTCGCCACTAACCTAAACAGCCTTGGCTGTCGTTGTTGGCCCCAGACTGGCCAAACCATTTAAAGACGGGCTAATTTGGTTTGGATCGACCGCGACGCACGGCTCGACGCGAGTCATTCCGGACCTTGTCTAGTTGACTGTCACTGGATGACGATGCCAGCCCTACGAGCGGATTTTCCAAAGCTTGTCGCTTGTTTGCCATTAAACGGGAGCCTAGACGGGTGCTTAGACGGGTGCTTAGACGGGTGCTTAGACGGTGCTTAAATGGGTGCTTAAACTGGTGTTCCCAGTCGCGATGCCCGCGTTTCTGGTGTTTTGGGCCATGTGCTTGTCGCCCAGCCGCCTTGCTTTTCATTGTGGCTGCCGCCTTCGGTTCCATTGGCAATCAGCTTCTGTCTCACAATTTGAGGCGTGCGGGCTGCCACGCATTCAACTCGAGCACTGCAAGCTGACGAGGCCAGACGTCATGTCTCACTATCGCACGAACAAATCACGACTGCTCTCGGCCCAAGAGCATTGAGGAACGAGAAAACACCCAAGCAAGCGACAGTGTGATTGGGCTCCTCCAACACCAAATGCTGGTCACCAAGCTACTGCAGCTCCTCGTCGGAGTTTGCCTCATCCCTTGCGTCGCTGCGGATGCTGGCGATGGCCGGTCCAACAACCTTTTCACCTACATAGCCACGTAGGTGTCTCAGTTCAGTTTGTCTCGCGGAGTCCGAGTACTGACGCCATGTCGTGTCTAGGCTCCTGGCCCTCTTCGGAGAAAGGGTAACCATGCAGCACATGAGGCAAGCTATGGGCTGAGCCGACAATGTAATTCGGTCAATGGCCCCGCTGGCCATAATTACCACCATCCGAGACGTAATCCGCGTCTGAGGTCCCTCGTGGCTTGGCAAAGCAAGGGAGAGCCGTGCCGTCCCCGAGGCGGAGCTGATGTTCTCCACCTCCGAAGAGGTGTGCGAGCTCTGGAACAGCCACGAGATTGTCAGGGTAATGGGTGAGGGACTGATGCGGGAATTCATCATCCTCTTGCCTGAGGACGGGAAGATGGAGGGGCGAACTCGAACCCACAGAGTCAGGCTAATTCCAACAAGGAATAGCGACCAAGAGTTGGTGGAAATGACGCTGAACCACAGCAACAACAAGTCTCCCGAGAAATATGATCAGTCATTGTATCCACCTGTGTCGCGTCTGCCTAGCTATGTTTCAGAGGGCACAATGGTTTGCCTCGCGGTATGCACTGTTCAGCTTTCGTCGCCCGGCTTGGGGCAACAGGTGTGATGACCATATTCAGAGCTTGGCAGCTGTGCAAGATTGTGATGGACCCAAAGTCTCAGCCTCTAATGCAAGGAAACGAAAGGATATAAATTGGATTGGTTGGCAATGGATGTTGGGGTGGATTGAGGGAAAGCTCCCTCGTTGGATGTATCCAGAGTCTCCGGAGACAGACGGAGCGGTCCAAGATCCGCGGTCCAAGATCCGCAATCCAAGATCCGCAATCCAAGATCCGCAATCCAAGATCCGCAATCCAAGATCCGCAATCCAAGATCCTCAGTCCAAATCCGGCGGGCTGTGGGGAGCTGGAGGCTCAGCCGCATCCCCGCTGGCATGAGCACCGGCAAACGGAAACCCTCCCGGCAACCGGACGAGGATACGGATCCGGCAGTCCGGGGCCAGCATTCCGATACTCGGTTCGAAGCCGACAGGATGATGAAGGTGGGTGACTTGACTTACGGCAAAGGGATTTGAATTGATTTGAGGAATTGATCAAGTCTGGGAATATTACTATGTGTGCAAGCCAGCGCCTAAAGCTTCCAGCTGCTTAGGGCGCTGTAGCTGCTGTAGGTGCTGGAGCGGGGGAGGGGCAGTGAAGGCCATAGTGGAGGCAGACAGTGGAGGCAGACAGTGGAGGTGTTGGTGGACCCGAGGTCGGACCCTTGTTTCGACTTGTCCCATTTTACGCCTGAGATGCTTGGCATACGGGACAGAGGTGATCGCCCCTGCGACACACCGTCTGTCACATAGCTAGCCTAGTCATCAGGTCCTATGTAGCATCGTCCGTAGGAGGCCATAGTGGAGGCACACAGGAGGCGGAGAGACAGTGGAGGCTGGGCTGTGTGATAAGGTCAAAGCGCTGCATTAGTCTGTTCCATACCACCGGTATTTCTTATTTGACCGTAACTTGAGCAAATCACAACTAACAGTCCATAAAGTGCAACAAATGTGGCGACCTGAAAGCCAACCCTTGCAGCTATCATTTGTGATAACTATCAAGAAATATGATAAGGCTGTGCGCGGGGTTTTACGCGAGGTATTCTATTACGTAGGTAGTCAAGGAATCGAAACGGATAGATTCTGGTCGACGTGCAGGGCCGTCTAGTGATTCGATAGTTAGCAGCAGTAGCGCTGTATCAGCTGTCAAATCAGGCTTGGGGCGCTGTGGCTGCTGTAGCTCTTGGAGGCTTGGGGTGCTGTAGCTGCTGGAAGCATGAGGTGCTAGGGCGTGTACAGGGATGCTGAGATAACGGATCTCATTTGCACTGGGGGCAGTGCGGCTCTTATTTTTACTGTACCTAGGTACAGCGGCCCCCTACCCTATAGTAGATAACTAATTAATAACCCTACCCTATAGTAGATAACTAATTAATAAATAAAGTAGAGATACAGAGAAGGCGAAAGCGACAACGTGACCAAATCATACAGCCCCTTACAGACCTCGTTCGCCCAGTACATGCCCTCCGCCTTCATGTGGGTAGCAGCGAAGACGTTGAGGGAGCCAATGTCTGGTGCAGTTGAGGTACGGCCTACAGACGCTAATGGAGAGAGCCGCGTCTCGTGGCAATCATTTGCACTGCACAGTGCTCAAATGGGATGGTGCTGACCCTCCTAGTCGCATGCGAGACACAGCTCAGCTGCATCATGTTTGTTGAGACGCTGCTCAACAAGGGCGCCGATAAGGAGGCTAAGGACCGCTTCGGCCGCATGCTGCATGCTGCTTCATGGTGCATGAGGCCAAAGGATGACGGCAGCAGCATGCCGCTGCACTGGGCTGCCATAGGAGGATATCAGGGTGTAATGCAGCTGCTACTCAATATGGACGCCAAAGGGAGGCGAAGGATCAGTTTAGCAGCACACCGCTTTACATGTATAGCTGCTATTGAGGGCATGAGGCCGTGGCGCTGCTGCTGCTTGACGGGTTTTGCCGAGAAGGAGGCCAGAGACAACAGCGGCCGCATGTCGCTACACAGTGCCATCGCCAGAGGGTACGAGTCTGTGGCTCGGCTGCTGAGAAAAGAGAGTAACCACCTCGTTCATATACCTCGGAAGTGGCAAATTGATGCTGGGCAAATGAAGAAATGGTTCTTTAGTTGACTTTTCTCAGATGCTGGGACTACTCTGTTCGTAGTTCGTTTTCACTAGAGCCGGGATATTCGTCCGTACCTTTGCCAACCTCGTCCGCCTCGCTGTTGCTCTCACTTGGTTGAAACTGTCAGGAACCCATGATACATAATGACCCATAGTAAGCCGTAAACCGTAAATGGCCATCGCTGCTATCCCAAGCGTGGTAGACGCAGCTCAATCACATCTCAACTGCAGCTCAACTACAGCTCAACATGGGTAGTGCCGTGATAATTCGACCACAGCCGCATGCTCCCCCCGGGCGGCCCACCACACCACAGCGGGGTCCGGCCCAGGGTGTCCGCCGCCTCGGTATTGACGCCCCGGTCGAGGGAGGAAAGAGATAATTAGACCAAGAACGATCAGACGAGACCTAGTTCACATGATTGTAAGAATGCTTCGAGTTCATAGTGCACCCTTGGTCATATCGTCTCTGGACGCTTTCTCGGCATTTTTGACGTTTCGCTGCAACTACGTACAGTACTTGTCGTCTTTCTGCTGCAGTGATGGATCCACGTACAGCCCACCCGGGATTTTAAATGTTAGTTCGGGACCTGAATTCGCCACGATCGCCGCTGTTAAGTCTATCTTATTGGGTCGTTTAAGTAGGGGTGGCTTCACTAGTAATTAACTAGGGAAAGGTGTCGATCTCATCTGCAGTTATGATTTTATGCTGTTTTACGCAGAGATACTGCTGTAGCACGATAAGATTGTAGTACAAGTACCTTCTTCCCTATAAAAGCCTAGTTGATCTCTAGGTATCCCTACCTGCCACTAAACATAGGTACGTTACTGTAGGCTTTGTACCAGAGCTAACATTCGAAATCCCTGTGGGCTGTATCTGGCAGCAGCTTGCTTGCTTGATTTGCTTGCTCTGCCGACAGCAGTGGGTGGGCCCAGCCCCGGATTTCGCCCCAAACTTCAATTCCACTCGACGCGATGGAATCATTAACGACAACATCCATCGAAACGCCGGCAATGCTCGAGTCTCCGAGAATCCTTGCATGGGTTCAAGATCTACCCGGCAACTACAACCACAGTTCACGCCCGTCCTCTCCGCTCGCGTCGCAATGGCAAAAAGGAAAGGCTGCCACACTGCACCGCCTGTTTGGAAGTACGCAGAACATCCTTGAGACTTATCGGATTGTTGCAGGCCTGCGGGAGCTTGGTGCGTGGGCGAGGGATGTCTACCTCCCCTGGTTTCAGGATAATATTTTGACTAGATGAATCAAAGCATTCAGCATCAGTATTTTAATAGTGACTGGACCAAGTACAATATTTAACCCATATCTTGTTGATACATACACATGCTCTTCGCTCCGATGGCCTGTCACCGACGTCGCCTGAATAGTTGTTACTCCCACCCATTACTCATGCCCCAAGTTCATCTTGTTAGCTAACACCTTCAATAGCATGCAATCCCGCTCCTCATAGTTCTTCCGCAACATCTGCAGCTGGTTCTCCGCGTCCAGTCTCATCCGCCTCTCTTCATAGAGCTGACGTAGGGCTTCCTCCCTAGACAACGACTCCGCCAGGGTCCCAGCAGGCACTTTCAGTTCCGGCTCTGACGCATCCCGGCGAGTATGGGCATGCTCAGACCATGGACTCAGCATCGTGCTCATCCGCGCGACAGAGCGCAAGGGCGAGTCGCACTGCCGGCTGTGCACAGCTTTGACGTGGCGGTCGCGCGAGTCCTTCCGGGACCATCCTCCCTTGCGGGTGCATCCTCGGTGCTCGCAGAAGAAGAGCGCCGTCTTCTGATGGACCGCCGCGTGGTGCCGATCGACGTCGCGCTTTGTTTTTGCGCGGAACGGGCAGCCTGGGCTCGGGCATGCTTTCAAGATGGCGCGATTGCCAACGGACTCGCTCGACTCTCTGGCAAAACGGTTGGTTATATGACGATGAGTAAGGGTGTTGGGGCTCAATCCTTACGTCGCCACTGCACCCTTTACACTTGTAGACTTGTTCATGTCCGTATTCGGCTCGGAATCGGCTCTGTATGCAAATTTGTGTTAGCATCTTGCCTTCTTTCGGCATCCGCATATTGCTCGAAGTTTTCTTGGCCAAGCGTACCGGAAAGCGAAGGGATCGTTGCCATTGGTAGCGTCGAAAGACCAGGTGAAAGGGGCATTTGCCGGTAAGTAGGAGCCCGCCAACATCCCGTCCACCGGATCCCACGGGCTACCAGGGAATAGATCCAATTGACCTGTTGAAAGACCAGCACGGGTATTGTATGGTGGTCTTCCACAAAAACCCTGGTTAGTTAACATGGCACTTGGCTTGCTCTGTTTACTTCGCACACATGAAGGTGGATACGTGATGTATGGGGTACGCTTTCTTTTTCCTGGCTCCCGGGATCGCGAGGTCCTGGCAAGGATCCAGAGGAAATCCATCCAGGGGCTTGGTGCTCAGGATCCTCAGAATTACGCCTTGCGATGGAAGTACCTCCGTCCGGGTAAGGAATTCCTTCGGCCAAAATGCAGCCGCAGTTTAGTGGGATATACATACACGGTGCATTTAAGCTTTCGGAGTTTTCATACCCGGGCTCGGATAGATCAACTGCTCGGGTTTATTCCAAGGGATCCATCATAGCATGTAGTCCAGCTGGGGGTTCCTTGAATCCTTGCCGGCGGAGCTCCGATGAGCATCGTCAAGTCCTTGAAGTCCCGACAGGGCTGGAAAAAGTATAGCGAAAGGGCAATACACACACACATACCAAGGAATTATAATAAGACCGGATCCGTGGCGGTTTTGAGCATATCCGTTGGCCTTTTGGGTTGTCCTGGGTCCATGTTTGCTGCGTCTGCAAGTCCGTTTGATGAGGTCCGGAATGTAATGTGTCCACACGAATGTGCCATCAGCAGTCAAGTACTGAGTGGAAAGGCAATGTGACCCGAGGGTAGTTTCGTATCGTCGAGGTCCGGATCCGAGGTGTAGAAGAATAGAGAGGTCGAATGCGGGAACCTTGGATCCATTCGAAGCATGACGTAAGAAAAGTAGCCTGGAAAGAGAATGGCAGTGACATGTCAATCAATTACCTATGATCGGTGTCGCCCTGTGGGCTCAGGGCTTCGCCGAACGGTTCGCTCTGATAGAGGTTGATGCTGTCGTCAGCCATGTCGTGCGGCGTAGTGAGGAGAGTAGTAGGATGAGGTGAAGATCGATCTCGTTGGGTTAAGCTGGAAGGGAAGCGGAAATGACCACCGTTCGAACTGGGAATCTTACGGACTCGGCGTCCCTTAAATGTTCCGACTTGTCGCTGCAACCCATCGGCTTTCATGAGCCCCACGTTTCAGCCAGACGGCGCCTAAACGAGGCAAATACTTGGGGCTGCAGCCACCACCAATGATAGAACGCCAGAGCAGCAACTTACAGTCTGAGCCCCATCACCGGGCGACATTACGGCCACATGAGGCCACCGGGGCCATTTGCGGCCATTTGCGGCCATCGGGGCCATTTGTGGCCATATGAGGCCATTGTGACCTTTTGCGGCGGCCACGGCGGCAAGATGAGGCTCAATACCGCAAGGCGCTGGCCAAAGAAGAAGCGAAACCTGGTTTCTCCAGGCCAGTTGTGTGCGTCGGGCATGGTGCTGCAGCGCTGTGGCCTCTTTGTTTGCAGAGGAGCTGAGGATTCATCCAAGGCTGGTCGAGTCATCTTGCTTCCTTGGAACTGCATTTTTTCGACGCTGCTAACCAACACATCCAAGCTTGCTGGTCTTCCACGTCTGACACATGCAAGAATCCTCTCTTCTCGAGACATCAACCTACTGCTGGACGGTGCGCCTCGTAAGCCACACAAGCTCGGGACGAAAGGTCTGTTAAGCGTCACCCTGCACCACAAAGGCCTCGTGTGTGAAGTGTGGATGATACAGCTCAATAAGCCGTCATCGGGGGCCATGTAGGCTATGGCTACAGGTACTACATTCCGAAGGAATTCTCGATGGAATTACACTTACCAGATGGCCAGGGCATGAGCCACACACAGGCCGCGAACTTGACCCATACCAAATATCCTGTAAGTTCCCATGCGCCACCCCAGAGGTTTCTTGCCTCTCGTCTCGCGCCGCCTTTCTTCTGGGTAACTGCGCGGCTATATTCTTTTTTTAAATATTTTCCATAGTACACACCATGGTTTAATCTTCATTTCGCTTACTGTCAAGTAATTCACCATGAGCTTCCTCCTAGTGAACAACTCCACAGCACTACTCGAGCACGATGTGCCACCGAGATCTGGCATGGATCAGTCAACCATTGTCGGCATTATCTTCGGCTGTCTGGCAACACGAATTGCGCTTGTCAGAGTAGTCATCGCATGGCGGTAATTGCAGATTGCTGCCTCGAGATCCGACCTGTCTTCAACGAAACTCTCATTAGATGGAGTAATAAGCCGTGTCCCATAGTTTGTAGTCAAGATCGCCACTGACGATCTGGTTGCAGTACGATCAGGGTCCACATTCCAGACCAGGGCCAGTCCAGACCGGTTTCGAGATAACCCAGACAGTACCCGAGGATGATTGGCAGCGGAATCTTGTATGGCTGCAGATACAGACCAATGTCTGATACGTCCAGGAATTGCTCCACGAGACTGACTTGGGTAGTTGGATGAATGGATGGATTTTATTTCGCCCAGGGATCATTTAGAGTCAATTGTTATAGAGAAGCACGAAACTAGCACTTTGTTTGCATCGCACTGTTTCTCCTGTCTTTACTAAGTATGGTGGCATATTAGGCAAGATGCGCAAAAGCACGAAAAAAAAATCGGAAATCGGAAATTGCAAAATTGCGAATCTATATATATAGGTTTATACTTATTACAGCCTATTATAATATAGTAGCTACAGTATATATAAAGATTAACTGATAAAAATATAGCTTATAAATTCTGCTTATTTTCTTTAATAATTTTAATATTAAATTTTAATATTAATTAAAATATAATTAAATTATAATTAATTAATTTTATTTAATATTTTTTAATAAATATATTTTAAAATACTTAAAATAGTTAAAGTTTTTTTTTAAAATAAATAATGTAATTTAATTAAATAATAAAAAATATAAGAAGAATAAAAAAAGAATTTTTAATTAAAATTCTTATTTTAATTGTAATTATAATATTATAATATTATAATATTAATTAATAGTTAATTTTAAATATTAATAAATTTATTAATAGCTATTAAAATATTAATTTAATTAGTAATATAATTTATTAAATAAATAGCTTTAATAGCAGTTAAAATCAGCTATTTTAAATTAAGTTATTATTAATTTTAATTTTAAATTTTTACAAATTCATTTATTTAATAAATATATTTTTATATTTAATATATTTTTATATTTAATATATTTTTATATTTAATATATTTTTATATTAAAATTTAATTTATTAATATTAAATCTTTTTATTTAATTTACTATTAAAATTATAATATTTAAGAAAATAATTTCTTTTTTTTTAAATAATTTTAAATAATTTTATAAATATTTAAAATATAATTATTTATTTTATTTTAAAATTATAAAATAAGTAAAGAATATTTAATATTTAATTAAAATATAATTAGAATATTAGTATTAAATAATATAAATTATAATTTAAGAATATATTAAAGAGATAATTTAATATAATTAAATATATTAATAGCTAGTAAATCTATTTCTATAAAAACACTAAATAAATATCTATATATTATTATATAAGAGATAGCTTATTAAAAAGTGCTAGTATTTCTTAGAATATTATTATAAACTTTAAATATTAAAGTATAAAAAGTTATAGTATTTTTTTTTAGAGTATTGCTATCCGCACAACCCCGTATTGCTATCCGGACAACCTTTAGATCACGTGACCACATTTTCTTCCCCACCACAGCCGCCGCAGCCCCGGCAGCCGAGGCAAAGCCAGCCCGCCGGCTTAACCCAAGCGTACGCCGCATGCTGATACAAGCCGAGCTCGAGACAGAGGCTAGCCCGAGGCCAACCCAAAGAACGTCGACGCCGAGATCACGAGGCCATACAAACACAAGGGGCAGGGGAACGAGAGGCGGACGAGGGAGGGGAGGCAGGGCGTCGGCAGCACTATCGTCAGCTGTGGAGGTCATCCCGGTCACGCAGCCGGAGCCGCCGTCACAGCCGGAATAACAGCCGGGCCGTCAGAAATACTACTTTTCACGGGGAAATATCGGAGATGCGTTTTTTTAAATAATTTGGCCGTGGCCAGGCTCGCGGGCTGTTGGAATATGTAGATGTTAATTGAAATTTGCTTGGAGTTAATTGCGTTCCCTGACTTATACTGTAATTTTAGTGTAGTGGAGGGAAGAGGTAGAATGTGGGGTGAAAAAATGTGGTTATGTGATCTAAAGGTTGTGTGGATAGTAATTCTCTTTTTTTATAACTAGTAAAAATAAATAAAGCTAGTATTTTATTATATAGAATTGTTAGTAATTATATTATAAATTGTAATATAATATTTCCTCTTTATTAATTGTATTTTTAAAATTATATAAGTAAGTTTAATTTTTTTAATATATTATTATTAGTAAATAATTTCCTTTTTAAAATATGCTACAATATTAATACTATTATAATATTTAATATTATAAAATTAAAATTTTATAAAATCTTAAAATAATATTATCTAGGAGATTATATTAAGAAGTATAATTTTAATATAATATTTTATTTATATTATTAAAGTTATAATATAATATAGAAGCTGTATAAAGCAGCCTTCAGGCCTTTATTAGTAGTATTATATTATATAATAGATATATATATACAGCTTTAATATAATAACTGCTATTATTACTTAATTTTTTACCTTAATAGTATTAAGTTATTATAATAGAGCTCTAGTAGTATAATTTCTATTATATATAGTATTTAGTTTTTTTATAGTCTTACTTAATATTATCAGATAGATTAAAGCTATATAGTAATCTCAAATAGTAGAAATAAATAATAAGAGCTACACCCAGCACCGGAAGAAACAGTAGCTAAATAATAAGATTATTACCTATCAGTCTCTACCTAAAGCTTCTATTTAACCCCTCTAACTTTAATCCTATTATCTACAGTTAACAATCTTACTATCTGCAGTTAATAACCTTAAGATAGTAATCTTATTCCAAGTAAAGGGATATAAGGGAGACTGACGTCTCCTATTATTAAAGGGCTAACTTCCCTTTTAATACTTATTTCTTATCCTATAATAACTAACTTTAAATATAATAAATTTTATTTAAAAAGCCCTTACTACTAGTAATATATTATATCTATATTATATAAATAATATCTAATATAATTTTAAATTCTCTTAAAATTTAAAGAATAAATTAAAAAGATAGAAGCTAAATTTTCTCTTAAGCTTTCTTAAAGAAGAAAATCTATTTAAGCTATTACTATACTATCTATAATATCTAAATAGAAAATAATAAATTATATTAGCTATTTTTAAATACTATTTACTTCTTTATAATAGAAATAGAATTAATAAATAAGAAAATTAAATTCTTAGTAGTAATTTTATTATATATATTTAAATAGAAATAGCTATATTTTATAACTTAGTGAAAAATATTAATAATACTAATTTAAGGAGTTGAGTTTTCTTCTAGGATATTACCGAGGCTTAATATATCTTCTGGTTTTAGAAGCTATTATATTATATTGGGTTGGTATAGATACTAGCTATATAGAATACTGGCTAGAGGGGGAATTTGAATAACTTGGGTTATTATAAGTATTAGGGATCTTAAGGTATTAGGTTGGGTTGTGGGAGTTTTTAGTGTATTTATTAAGATTAAACTGGGTTAAAAAAGTTAGATAGAATTTTAGTAGAGAAGAAAAAAGCAGCTTAAAATTTAAAACTTAGGCCTTAGTAACTGTAATATATATATAATAAAAATATAGTAAATTTAAATACTAGATTCTCTTATTAAGGGGTTATATATAGTATATACTATTAAATATTAATTTATTTATTAAAATATATTAAAATTCAGCTAAAAGTTATTAGATTTACTACTTAATAATTTTAAGATTATTATTATTGAAACTTTTTTAAAAATATATAATATATAAATAAGATTTTTTTAGCTAGTTTCTATTAGTTATTACTCTTAAAGTAATTTTTTTTAATAATTCTTTTAATTTTTTTTATTTTTTTAATTTTAATTTTAAGCTATTTATTAATATTAATTTAAATAATATTTTATACTATTTTAAAAAATAGAAAATAAAAAATAGAGTAAATTTTAACTTTTAATAATAAGTTTAATTTATAGTTATTTTTTAATATTTTTTCTATAATTTTAAAAGATTTAATATACTTATAATTTAATTTATTTATTTTAATTTATAATATTTTTTTATCTAATTTTTAATAAATTTAAATTTAGTTTTTTTTATTTATATAAATTCTTTAACTATTTAATTATAAAAGTTCTTCTTAAATTAATAAATTCTTTTTAATTAATTTAGTAAATATTAATATTAAATTTAAAATTAATATAAATTAATTTAGTAAATATTAATATTAAAGTTAAAATTAATATAAATTAGAGTAATTTTTATATTTTTATATTATATAATATTATAGCTTAATTATATAGTTAAAAGGTTTTTAATTTAATTTTTTTATTTAGTTATATATTTAAGATTATTAAATAGTAATAAGTTAGTAATTTAATTTTATATATAATATTAATACTTATTAAAATTTAAAAGTAAATAGGAATTTTTTATTAAAAGAAATCTTTAATAGAAATTTATAAATATTAATAATATTTCTTAAATATATATAAAAAATTATTTTATATTTATTAATTTCTAATATAATATAAAATAGGAAAACTTTATAAATTTATTTATAATAATAAAAATATTATTATAAAAGATATTTATAACTGAATTTCTAAATAGAGATAATTTTATAATAAAATTTATAATAATAGAATTTTATAATTATTTAATAATTAATAGAAATTATAATTTTCTATATAATTTATAATATTAAGTTATAATTTTACTATATAAATTATATTACTTAATTATATTTTATATTAGTTTTTTTATCTTAGAAAATTAATATATTATTTTAACTTATTTAAAGATTTTATTAATTTTTTAATATTTATATAAAAAGTATTTATAAATCTTCTTAATTAATTTAAAATATAAATCTTTAAGTATTTAAGTTTATTATTTATATTCTTTTAATAGCAATTTATTATT